GAATTATTCTTACTTCACAAGCCATACAATAACAGCCAAGGGGCCACAACCTGCTCATCCCTTGATGAGCTGGTAACTCTTAAACTATAATCTTTGGCCTCCTGAGAGCTGCAAGGTTCCCTGTGGTAGGATCTGATTCAAAATTGAGTTCTTTCTTTGGTTGTTAAAGACTGAATAAATGACACAAAATGCTATATACTTATTTTTATGTACTATAAACTAATGATTATAATCTAATAATGCTTAATAAATGGTTTATTAAGCATTACTTAAATTTGGCTATAACAAACTAAAACCAGTTTAATACTACAATTTTTTTCCCACCTCTGAGCCTGCTGAGCTTTTACAGTACACAGATTACATGTTACAGTCCCTAAATTACTTCGCAGACATTATATACCATCATAACCATAACATACTATTCTTTTATTCTGTCACTTACCATACTTGTAATTAATTAAATTGTTTAAAGTCTGTTGCTCTCAGTAGACTCTACACTCCATAAGATCAGTGACCATGTCTCATTTTTCACCAATATGAACCCAGCTCATAGCATGTCTTATACATTGTAGGTGTTCAATATATCCAAATACACAGATGTCTGTGTGCATATATATACACACACACATCTATACTTGTGGGCTAAATGAATGAGTGAATGAATTCTGGTATTAACTGCTGCAATTCTTACTTTTTAATTATATAGAAGTTGTTACATATGAAGTCTTTTGATCGAGTATAAAATTAGCACCAAGACAAAAGTATGCCAAATTGCAGGGTCTTTATTGCTGGCGACCACGGAGGACTCACATCTCTCCAACCTGTGGCCCCAAAAGGAGGGTGACAAGACCCATTTATGCCCATAAACCACCTCCTGGGTGAGGGTGTGGGGCGGGAGTGGGGGTGAAGGGATTCAGACATTCTGAGGGCCAGGGGATTCCGTAAATCACCTCCCGAGCAGAGAGGAGGGTGTGGGTCCCTGGACATTCCAAGGGCTAGGGGACTTGTTGTCACTTCGATTGTTACCTAAGTGGTTTACAGAAGTCAAGATAAGTGTTGGTTTACACATTGTCTGGGCAGTGGTGGAATCCACAGATCTTAGTTACTTATTACAAGTCACAGGGGCCAGGATGGAATTAGCTTGGGCTGCTTATTCTGGTTATTACCAGTAAGCAAAGGCCAGCAATTCTGGCAGTTACTGATAAGAAAAGGTAAGCAGCTTTACATAGTGGGCATTTTGCAGAGCAAGCTAGCAGTTTTATTTACAGAAGCCAAGGCCAGCAGTTATTGTGAGGAGAATGGGGCAGCCCTTACAACTTATTTCTGAAAAACAGCTTTGTTTTGTATAAAATGGTGTTCAGGCTCTAACTCTAGGCCAGCTATAGCACACATAGAAGTTTCATGGTCTGGCACTGTGGCTCACAGCTGTAATCCCAGCACTTTGGTAGGCCAAGGTGGGTGGATCATTTGAGGTCAGGAGTTCAAGACCAGCCCCTGGCCAACCAGTGAAATCCCGCCTCTATTAAAAATACAAAAAGTAGCCAGGCACGGTGGCAGACACCTGTATTCCCAGCTACTCGGGAGGCTGAGACAGGAGAATCACTTGAACCAGGAGGTTGCAGAGAGCCAAGATTGTGCCACTGCACTCCAGCCTGGGGCACAGAGCAAGGCTCTGTCTCAAAAACAACAACAACAAAAAGAAGTTTCACTTAGGTTCAACATTATCAATCCAGTTTTTTGGTGATTATCTGATTACCCTATTGTTCATAATGATAAATGTTTGTACCAGCAGTATTCTGGGTCTGTAATTCTGCAGTGGTCTTTAAGAAAAGTATGAAATATGTTTCTAACATGAGTTATTCCTATTTCCATGGTTAAAACAGCCATATAAAATTTACTGCGGGAATGTGGGAGGAGTAGGAGCAGTTAACAGAGATGCTTTATTGTTACCTCCAAGTTCTTATCCCACTGGAAATGGGCAAAAATTTGATGGCCATTGTATTTGCCAGATATTTTGATGATAGAGGCATACCTCACATAGTTGACACCCTTTAGTTCAGGGACCCATGGACATTTGGTTTTTACAAATTCTTGTTTCTTCTCTACCACAAGGCTACACTTTTGGAACGTTTCTGCTAAGCCTCACCTCAGCTCCACTTAAGGTGATGCAGTTTGTGCTCGCTGTTTATAAGGCAAAAAGTAAAAAGAAAGGAGTCCCAAGATAATGCTTCCAAATCACTGGGTCTCTGTGTTTTTGTTTTCACAGACATGCACGTACTAAAGAAAGCTCCAGGGGAAATGGTGCAGATCTTTGTGCCTTAAAATCTGGGCCTACTGTGAGATAAGAGAAAGGCTTCCTTGGAAAATGTCGGGACCACTGATCTGCACTCAACAGCTCCAGATACAGATTTGACCTAATTAACCTCAGTATTTCTAGGACTTAATCAAGAAAGATCCAATTCCAGCAACTCTAATTTTAAGTGTTTCACTAAGGGCAGCATTAAGGTAATTTAGGTAAAAACAAAATTTAAACAAAACAAGGAAAGGGAATGTTAATTGCTTCAGGGAAATGTGTTAACTCCCTGTTCACTGAATGTTCAGTGGTTATTTGTTCTGATTGCTCTTTAGTGACTATTTATTGTGCACATTACACAAGATGCTCTTTAAAGTTGCTGATTTGGAGATAAGAGCAAAACTACCAATAAGTTCACCAGATGTAAAGATGGTCGAAACCCTTTCTGTTCTTTAGTCTCTTGGCAACTTCTGCACAAAGCTATCGATGAATCTAATAACACAGTTCTGCCAAACCCCAATCTGCTACTCTGATATGTACTCACAATTTAATCTGCAAGTTTTACATAGATTGGTCTAATTTGAAAAGTTGAAAGAAGTGGCTAAATTGTTCCTGAGACTGTAACAACTATTCGAAAAGAGATGATCTTGTCAAGCTGTGATGTCTAGTTATTGCAAGAAAAGAAATTAAGGAATGGAAGCTTCTGTATGTGTGTTGTAAGTGTTTGGAAAAGGAAGAGCTGCTTGAATTAAAACTGTTTTTGTATTTTCCTTATATTAGAGGAAGAATATTCTAGTATATCCCTTCCATCTCCCGCAACCCCACCTCCCACCCTCATACGCAAAGACTGCCCAAGTCTTGTCTTCTGTCTTTAGCCTAACTTCTACAACATAACATCTCTGAGAACCTTTCTGCCTCTCCACTGATTCAGATCCTATCTGTTTTTTCAATTCCAGATAAAACCCTCCTACATCCAACTTCTTCCTGAATTGCCTTCCAGATTTATCAGCCTATATCAATTCTCCTTTTCACTAAAGCATCATTGTCTCTGTCTCTCATTGTATCTCTTATTTCTTGGTTGTTTGCTTTTACTGAGCTGTTTCACTTCTCCACTTCTCCATAATCAGAGTAGAAACTCCAGAAAGAGTAGGAGAGTGCTTCATTTCCTTTCAAACTAAGGAGAGAAGTATTATCAGGGGCTGTTCATAGGGTGTTGCAAGCATAGTAGCACAAAGAGGGAGTCAGGAAAACCTCCATAGGAGACACCCCAAAGCAACATTCTCTCATATGTAGCTAGGCCTCTCTGTTTAAACCAATGATCTAGCAAACGCAGTGGCTCTTTTTGTCTTCCTTCTGCCTGTACTTACGTCTTTTTTTGAAATCACATTCACCTAATACTCAATCATTTTGGTTTTGTATCACTGATATAACTTTCTTCCTTTCTTTCTTCCAAGAGCAGATAGAACTGGGCAAAAAACAAGCCCAGTAATGTAATGTGATCTCTGCTGTATTTTTATTTTTCTCTTATACCTCTGTATTATGCATGCTGTGGTACTATTGCATATGAATTGGTTCCAGGTCACTGGCTGGCAAACCTGAACTCCAATTTTCAAATGGTATTTTACTTGCAGACTTCACCGTCTGTTGAGCAAGTATGTTATTTGCGTCAGAACAGATAAATAAATAATAATGCAGTAGACCTACCACCTAGGGATTTGTGTGTTCTGCGAGCAAGTGGTAGCATTATACCTACTTTATGAGCAGGTGACTGAGGAAGTAGAAATGTATGTATCTTAAAAGCACAGAAATGACCTTTTAGGGTTTTTTCTAAATTAGAAAAGGGGCTTTCTTGCTTGAATAGTACATCAATGTTCACAGCAGCATTATTCACAATAGTGAAAGGTGAATGCAACCCAAACGTCCACCAATAGATGGAAAAACAAAATATTGTCCCTACATACAATATTATTAGTCAGCCTTAAAAAAGAAGGAAATTCCAACACACACAACCTCGATGAACCTTGAAGAAATTCTTTGAAGTGAAAATAAGTCAGCGACAAAATGACAAATACTATATGATTTCATTTATACAAAGTACCTAACGCTGGTGGTTGTAAGCTGCTGGAAAAAGGGAGGAGCTGGGTGTTAGTGTTTAATGGGCCTAGGGTTTCAGTCACATGAGATGAAAAAAGTCTGCAAATTATGGTTGTACAGCCACATCAATAAACTTAAGGCCATAAACTGTACACTTAAAATGGTCAAAATGGTAAATTTGCTTGTGTACATTTTACCACAATAAAAAGGGGGGCCTTTCTTGATCAATGTCAATAATACTTTTTTTTCCTCAAAAACAATGGAAAAATGAAAGAGCAAGTAAGTACAGGATCCTGTCCGTCTCTTCACTTGGCTCATCCTAGCCTAGTTGTTTCACTGATTGGTTACATAAATAATTTCTACATAAGGTATTTAATAAAAAAATAAGCTGTCTAGAGGAAATGCATTTTAACACCATTTTAAAATTTGAAATTTTCTTTTTTTTAAAATTTATTTTAGTTTACTTTAGGTTCTGGGGACATGTGCAGGTGCAGGGTTGTTGCACAGATGCATACTATATCCAGCATTTCTCTCCATGTTATCCTTCTCCACCCTTCCCACCCCCTGCTGTCCCTCCCCTAGTCCCCCCACCCGCCCCCAGTGTGTGATGCTCTGCTCCCTGAGTCCACGTGTTCTCATTGTTCAACACCCACCTGTGAGTGAGAACATGTGGTTTTTGTTTTTCTGTTCTTAAGTCAGTATGCCGAGAATGATGGTTTCCAGATTCATCCAAGTCCCTGCAAAGGACACCAACTCATTGTTATTTATGGCTACATAGTATTCCATGGTATGTATGTGCCACATTTTCTTTGTCCAGTCTATCATTGATGGACAAAGGGCTAATATCCCGAATCCACAAAAAACTAAAACAGATATACAAGAAAAAAAAACCCATTCAAAAGTGGGCAAAGGATATAAACAGATACTTTACTGACATATATGAGGCCAACAAACATATGAAAAAATGCTCATCATCATTGGTCATCAGAGAAATGCAAATCAAAACCACATTGAGATACCACCTCATGCCAGTTAGAATGGCGATCATTAAAAAATCTGGAGACAACAGATGCTGGAGAGGATGTGGAGAAATAGGAACACTCTTACACAGTTGGTGGGAGTGTAAATTAGTTCAACTATTGTGGAAGACAGTGTGGCGATTCCTCAAGGATCTAGAAATAGAAATTCCATTTGGCCCAGCAATCCCATTACTGGGTATATATCCAAAGAACTATAAATCATTCTGCTATAAAGACACATGCACATGTATGTTCTTTGCAGCCCTGTTTACAATAGCAAAGACCTGGAAACTTTTCTTTTAATTGGCAACACCTTCATATACCAAGTAGGCTTCTACTTACTCTATTTCTAAATATTTCCCATACCGTTGGTCATCTGAAATTCCATGTGCAGGGACATAAAACTTGTGCTCCACAATGAAAAACAGGAAATAATATGCATGTAATAACTTAGGAATGAGAAGAAATGTTCTCAAATTCACTATACCCATGTTGCTCACAGTATAATCTTCCGGAATACTACATCACAATAATTAGAGAAACTATTAAAAAATCCTATCCCAGACCTACCAAATTGGCATCTGTGGAACTAGGGGCTTGTAACCTGCATTTTAAATTGGCTCCTCCAGTTATATTTATGCATACTAAAGTTTGAGTGTCAGTAACCTAAACCATAAGTGAGTGATACAACTATAAGGAATATTTCTCCTTAAAAATATATGAAAAGATAAAAAACCATGAGAGTAATGGGAGTCTGACTGGAGGCAGAAACACAAGACTGGGTACATCAAAATCAAAATTATAACACATCCTTACTCAGGCTTTTCTTTTTTCTATTTTTTTTTTTTTTAAGATGGAGTTGTGTTCTTGTTGCCCAGGCTAGAGTGCAATGACACGATTTTGGCTCAACGCAACCTCCACCTCCCAGGTTCAAGCAATTCTCCTGCCTCAGCCTCCCGAGTAGCTGGGACTACAGGCATGTACCACCATGCCCAGTAAATTTTGCATTTTTAGTAGAGACAAGCATCTCTCCATGTTGGTCAGGCTAGTCTTGAACTCCCAACCTCAGGTGATTCACCCGCCTCAGCCTCCCAAAGTACTGGGATTATAGGCTGTACTCACTGATTCTTCAACTAAGATAAATAACATCAGAATGATGTCACAGACTTAAACAAAGAAGCAAAAGTTTTTATTGGGAGATACACCAAAAGTAATCATCTGTATGAACTGCTTTTGGAGAACTTGAAGGACCCGCATAGTGTGTCATGTATCACTAGTATGTTATGATAGGAACAAAAATGGGGCATCCAGTCTCTTCACATTTTCATCTCTGACCAGCCTGTCCAAACTCAAATACAACTTTGTATTATATAGTATTTTTACTTCATTTGAATTGCCTAAGTAACATCTATCTAGGACTACCTTTACACTTTGCTTCTGTGCAGTTGTGTGCCTTAAATCTTTGAGAATTATAGGGTCTTGTGGCCATATCATATGAAAGGTGTCAAAGCCATTAAAGAATGCATGGAGTGGTTTTTGTCTCTTCAGGAACTAGTTTTCCAAAAAATAAAAATAAATAAAAAAATAGGTAAAAATATTTTCAGTGCTTCAAAAGCCCCAGTGTTCACACAGCCTTTTTGACAGTCTCACTATATATCCTACAATAAGAATTTTGGAACATTATGACTGCAATATGTTTCAAAGTCAATGTGGTTTGCATGATAAGGCTCATTTCTCTTCAACTCTCCTAATGTATATACTGTGCTTTCATTCTGGTTTTTCTTTCTTCCTGTATGTCTACATTTAACTCTTTACCTCCAAATAAAGAATGTCATCTCTCACCATGACTATGTAAGACCAGCTCTTTTTTTAATCACTAGCTTCATTCATGTTCTGTCAGCAACTTCAAAGTATACTGTAAATAAATCACTTTGGAGCATTTAAGGAACTGCCATTCTCACTCTCCACCCCATACTTGGTGTTTCACATCCATGTCATACTCCCAGGTACTCTGGGTTCAGAAAGAAGCAGCTGTCTGTGTAGCATGTGAGGACATCTATCCATGAGACCAGAGAAAGGGAATGGATACACAGGACACTAGGAGAAAAGAGCCTTCAGGTTTTCATTCCTGGAGGATTGGGAGAGGCTGGGGAGAAAGGAAAGAGTTCAACTGAAATCAGAGGTTTCAAGGTGGTGATAAAGACAATCATGATACCACCAGCAGAGACAGAAAAGAAAAAGACTGGTTTTGAGAGCAAGATGATGCATTTCATTTTAGATATGGAATTTTCAAACTGACAGGATTCCAAATAGAAACATCTGGCAGATAACTGCAGATGCAGTACTGCATCTAAAAAGAAGGTTGAGACTGGAGATGGTAATGTGATCATCTTCATTTATGCAATGGTTACGTCATTATAATAGATGAGATATCCAAAAAGGAGGGAAGAGAGACAAAGCAGAGCATGTGGCTAGATCTTTAAGGAATGAAGAAGGGGAGAAGCCAGTAAAAGAAAGAGGCAGGGAAAAGGTAATCAGAGAAATTGGATAGGAACTGTAGTAGCTCAGAGTTACAGAAGTCAAAGGAGGAAGATAATCAAGAAAGTAGAGATTCAGTTGCATGAAGCAGTATGAACAAAAGACCAATGAAAATAAGGATCACAAAAATGTTAGGTGCTTGCCTTGTCAGCACATATACTGAAATCGGAATGATACAGAGATTAGCATGGTCCCTGTGTAAGGAAGACATGCAAATTCATGAAGTGTTCCATATTTATTAGGAGGCTATTGGTATGTTTTAGTAGAGCCAGATTTTAGGGTAATGAGGGAATGGGAAGATGGGTTATGACACCACCAGCAGAAATAGAAAAGAGAAGAACTGGTTTTGAGAGCAAAATGATACATTTCATTTTAGATGTGGAATTTTCAAACTGATGACAGGATATCCAAATAAAAACTAGCCAACAGAAATACAATGTGAACCACATATGTAATTTACAGTGTTCTATTAGCCACATTATTATGTTTAAATCACTCTTCTCTTTAAAATCCTTCAATAGCTCTCTATTTATCCAGAATAAATCTAAACTCTTTAATATACGAAGCCCTCTGAGGATAGTCTCTTTTGCTTCCTCTAGCCCAGCCCCAGCCTGCATTACTCCACAGCCATACTGGGTTTCTGCAGGTGCCTTATGTGTGCCACGCCACCTCACATCTCTGTATGTGTTCTCCTCTGCCTATAGTTGCCTGTTCCCCTGACTCCTGCCCCAGTATACCTTTCTATTCCTACTAACCCTTCAAGACTCAGCTTGTGTTTCCTCCTCTGTGAAGTCTCCTCTGAATGGCAAACTAATTCTTTATTCTTAACACCCTGCATCTTTCTTACAGCACTTATCACTCAGCACTGTTTCTGGAAGCAACCAAGATATCCGTTAGTAAGTGAATGGCTAAACATACTGTGGTACATCCATACAATATACTATTCTTCAGTGATTTAAAAAAAGATAAATGAACTATCAAACCACCAAAGACATGCAGGAAACTTAACTGTATATTGCTAAGTGAAAGAAGGCAGTCTAAAAAAGCCACATACTATTTATTAACATCCTTGAAAAGGTAAAACTATAAGCACAGTAAAAGCTTAGTGGTTGCAAGGCTTAGGGAGGAATGGAGGGATGGTGGAGCATAGGAGATTTGGGAGGGTGATGAAACTATTTCGTATGATACTGTGATGTTGAACACATACCATTATACATTTCTCAAAACTCAGAACTTTACAAAACACATATGTTCACTGCAGCACTGTTTACAATAGCAAAGACCTGGAAACAACCCAAATGCCCACTGATGATAGACTGCACAAGGAAAATGTAGCACATATACACCATGAAATACTATGCAGTCATAAAAAACGATGAGTTTGTGTCCTTTGTAGGGACATGGATGAATCTGGACACCATCATTCTCAGCAAACTGACACAGAACAGAAAATCAAACACCACATGTTCTCACTCATAGGCGGGTGTCAAAAAATGAGAACACGTGGACACAGGGGAGAATCACACACTGGGGTCTGTTGGAGGGAGTTAGGGGAGGGACAGTGGGGGTGGGGAGGGATAACATGGGGATAAATGCCAGATATAGGTGACAGGGGGATGGAGGCAGCAAACCACCTTGCCGTGTATGTACCTATGCAACAATCCTGCATGATCTGCACATGTACCCCAGAACCTAAAGTACAATTTAAAAAAAGAGTGAATCCTAATGTAAACTACAGACTTGTTAATAATAATGTGTCAATATTGGTTTATCAAGCATAATCTAATTTAAGAGAAGTGAACTATTAATACAAGGCAGTGTAAGAAGCCATAACATTTCAGAGGGCTGGATTACTAGAGGACTTGTCTTAATAGTTCATTTATCTTACAGTAGATTACACTGTCCTTAAGAGCAGGAATCATATCTCTTTGTACTTCTGAATTAACAAGGGTGCCTAGCAGAATTCCTAGCACAGGAATCGTCTATCTACCTACCTACCTACCTATTCACTGACTTATGACTGAGGAGTAAAACCAACCCTACCATATTTGTCAGGTTTGAGCTTTTCCTTTACTTGGAAGGTGAAAATCCACCTTTTGACTTTCATAAACTGAATCCCTAATTCCTGTTACAGAACTCTTATGTAATGTTAATTATAACATTTATATTGTTAGCTGTTTTATCTATTATATTTCCCTGAAGACTGGCACATATTTTTTAAGCTTGTTGTTGGAAGGGACTGAAAGGAAGTATGCTACACATATGACAGGATACACCTAGTGACCCTACGGCTTACATTTTTTTTCTTAGGTTGGGGCAATCCAAATATTTTGTTTGACTAGCACCATTAGCAGCTTTTGTGGTTCAGAAGAATGTGGCAATCAGTTTGAACTGTAGTCCAACAAAAAACAGTGTTGTAAGCGAATAGCCAGGGAAAGCCAGAAGAGATGAGAAAAGTATCTTAACTAATTTAGTAAAATATTCTCTATTCAAAGCATAAATAATATTTTGCTTCATGTTGACTATTGAAGATACTCCACAGCCTCAAGCTAATATTGAATAGACACTGTTGTTAATCCATTACATATGTTCAATGTAGTTAATCTTTTAAATGATTAACTATATTGATGAGCTAAAAAAAGCTCATAAAGGCTCATCAATTCAGACTAATTGAAGAAAAGCCTAACATGGTAAAAAGTGTGAATGATAAATCATCTTAAATTAATCTTAATACCTAAAATATACAGGGTAATTATATGATACCTAGTTTACTTCTTCAGAACTTGCTTCAGTGAATAAATTTGAAATTAGCATACTTGTTGCTGTGTCCCTCTGAACTATACAAAGACCTATGGAAAATCTGTTCTTCTAAATCATATGATGTAAATTCACTGAGTGCAGATTTCAGTGTGCATCTTAAAATTATTTCCTTTATTTGTTTATTCATAAAAATTCAAGTAGTCCTCTTTCTAAGACCTGGAGAAGTAAAAATATAAATTTATAAGAGCATAATGATGCTTACCTAGAGATACTATGGGTAAGAAAGATGCAGGTTTCCACCATGGTTGCACTAAAAGGTAGTTTCTGTGAGTGGTAGACTAGAAAATAACCCAAAATCTTAAATTAAGTCCCCACTCATGTAGATGCCAACAGCTTTCAGTTACCTTCATCACAGACTTTCTAAAATTCCATGTATTGCAAAAATTCTAAAATCTTAACATGATACTCAATTGGGCATTAACTATCAAGCAATAACTCTTCAAATGGCAAATCTTGTTTTATCTTTTAAAATTGCTGCATTTTCCCCTTATTCTGAATACTAAAATGAATGGAGTATGTATCACTCTGGCTCCTGGCAGAAAGAGATGGCTCACTCAAACTGTATAATTGAGAAGAATTTAATAGAGACACTATTTACAGAAATATGGGAAGCACTAAGGGAAATCAGTTAAAGATAATGTTCTGTTCTAGGGCTTGCAATTGTGAGATGGTAAAACTCCCCTGGATCTGACCGTGTACAGGGAGAAGATGGCTACTGACATTTGGAAAGGAAAGGACACTTGACGAGACCAACAGCCTTTAAAAGAGGAACCATCCTTGGAATCAACCCAAATGCCCATTGATGATAGACTGGATTGGGAAAATGTGGCACATATACACCATGGAATATTATGCAGCAATCAGAAATGATGAGTTCGTGTCGTTTGTAGGGACATGGATGAATCTGGAGAACATCATTCTCAGCAAACTGACACAAGAACAGAAAATGAAACACCACATATTCTCACTCATAGGCGGGTGATGAAAAATGAGAACACATGGACACAGAGAGGGGAGTACTAAACACTGGGGTCTATTGGGGGGAAAAGGGGAGGGCCAGTGGGAGGGGGAGGTGGGGAGGGATAGCCTGGGAAGAAATGCCAAATGTGGGTGAAGGGGAGAAAGCAAACAAAACACACTGCCATGTGTGTACCTATGCAACTGTATTGCATGCCCTGCACATGTACCCCAAAACCTAAAATGCAATAAAAAATAAAAATAAAAATAAAAGAGGAACCATCCAACCCATTGTAATCTAGCAGGGAGAGCCCCTAGAGTATTTATGTTCTGATCTCCCTCTCGGAGGAGATTTCCTCTGGCTGAACACAATCAGAAGCCTGAGGGCAAAAGTGTTATTTGATACAATCATTTTAGGTGAGTTCCCCGGGGCACAGAGAAGGTTGAAAAAAAAAGTAGAGAGTGAACCTGCAGAGAAAGTGGGAAATGTTCAAAGTACTAGCACTCTTGCTGCCGGTAACAGAAAATATAATCAAGCTCGTCCAAGCAAACAAGGAGGGAATTCATTGACTTGTGAATCTTAAAAGTATAGGAGTACCTCTATCTTCACACCTACCTCAGCTGGATCCCGAATCTCAAAGGATGTCCCTGGGATTCAGTATCTTTTCATCTCTCAGCTCTGTTCTCTTCCATGTAGACTTCACTTAAAGCCTCCATGTGGTAGCAAGATATCTGATAGTAGTTTCAGCTTGATATTCCAAATGATAATAATAATAATAATTTAATTAAATTAAATTAAATAAATAAAACTTAGGTTCTTTCAACACTTTAATCAGAGATCCCGGGCTTGACTACTGTTGTTCTAAATCAAGTCACCTGCCCATTCCTAGGCCAATCAATTTATTCATAAGTATTAAACAAGATGATTGTTCTGTCCTGAGTCACATGCCTATCTTTAGACTCAATGCTATAGGCCAAGCACAGCCCAAGGTCAGAGATGGAGGAAGGGTGAGCCCTTGGGTACTGTTACCAAAATTAGGAAAAACAGATGCTAGGCAACCAAAAAACAACAAATGACCACTAAAATCTTAACACTGCATTTGGAACCTAATTCACCTCTTAGCTCTCAAGTATCATGATGTTCAGGAATATAAGAGCCTACCAGTTTAGGCTAAGTAGCATTTAAAAATTTGGTGACAATTTCTACCTTCTGATTTCCATATTTTATGCTAATAAAGATGTGAAACAAATATTTATATCTATATCTATACATTTATATATAGATATACATATACATAAAACTTGCCATATGCAACAATTTGATTTGTTGTGCTATTAAATATTTCTATTGCCTTTCTCAATTTTATCAGCACTTTCCACAACATAAGCATTCTCTTTAGGCTGCTAACCCCTGAAAAAAGAAAGTCATTTCTATTTTTGTTGTTTGTTATCTTTTCTTCCCATATTGGCATAGGAAGATGAATTAATGAGTCAATTTGATGTTAATTATAAAATGACACTTTGGGCTATACTCTGAAAAGGAAGTGTAATTTCTTTCCCAAGATGAAAGGTTATGAAAACTAAAGATCACATAGCCACAGACATTTAAAGCTGGAAATTCACAAGTTATTTTAGGCATTAAGTACCAACAAAATCCAAGTGACCCTAAATTAGATAGCATTTTATAATAACATCTTATATAAATGTAAGTTTATGTCCCAGAGAAACTATAGTATGATGAAATAGCAATGATAGAGCCACTATATTTTAACCAGAAACAGTACTACATGAGCTTGCAACCCACGGTGAATTTTTCCAAGTGAGTGGCAAGGAACTTTTAGAACTACGCTTAGATGCGTATTTTCCTTAAATCATCCTGATGCTTAGAGAAGAAAAGCTTTAACCAAGTAGACACAGCATTCCATTTTCTCAGATCACATTGATAGAGTAGATGGAGATTTTTTATTGCAGCTGCATACTTGCTGATAAGAAAAAGTGAAGTATCCAAGTATTTAATTATCACATCTTTAAAATGGTAGAAAAGATCATTTCTTTTTAGCTGTCTATGATGCTTTTTTTACCTTTCTTTTCAATAACATACCTACATATTACTTTGTAAATTCCTTACCTACACAAAGTGCATTAGCTTCTCACAGATTTGTTGGCTGGTTTCATGTTTCTCTACAGAAATAAGTAGGTTTCTAAAATTATTCAGTAATGAATCTAAAGCTACATGTTTAGAAGATCAATTGGAGAGCAGGATATCATTTTATTTCAGTCTGTTTAACAAGAAACAAACTGAGACATACCAAAACGAAACAAACTGAGATGTACAAAAATAAACAATACACTTAGCACTATTTAAGATGCCTTCTTTTTGTCCTCTTCCTCTTCCCTAGTTGTTGCTGAGCTAGGAGTCTTAACTAAATGTCACCATGACATCCTGATAGAGAAGAGGGTGTACTCTGAATCTTAACTGTTCTCATTTTTAGGAGCTGGTATCCTTGGAGATCATGTATCCCCACTGTGTTGATCATCTACTGAGATGTGGCAGCATTTTCTTCTGATCTTACCACATCTTTCCTGGAGGTTTCCTCATCCAGGCTGAGGAAACCAATAATTCTCCTCCAAGTCTGTGGAGTTCTCCTTTCTCACCTATATTCTGTGCCCTTTCTTTCTTGTGGACATAGAGAAGCATCCACTGCTTTTTCACATACCTCTTGGACTCCACAGGGTCCCAGGTTGTCAGCAGGTATTCACTGTGCCAAAGCATCCTTTATGCATTTTCTGATCCATTTGTTTCAAGTTGCTACAGCATAGTAAACCTTGGCAAGCCTACTAGAGCTCCAGAGAGAGTGTAAGACACAGAGACTAGACCCATCAGAGGAAGACGGGGAGAAGAAATTTACCTCTACTCTCTTCCTTTCTTGTACTTGCACCAGAATTTATTCCAAGGCAGAAACCAACAGAAAAAAATGCCGAAGTTCTTTTTCCTTTCTTCTGTCTCCATTCCTACTCTAAATTTTTATACATATTTATAATAGCTCTTTAAAAGTCCAAGTCTGTTAATGTCACCTGTTTCTAGAACTGTTACTATTGATGGATTTTTTAACCTGGTTATGGGTCACATTTTCATGGATTTTTTTGTACATCTAGTAACTTGTGATATCTATATATGTGTTGGATATGCTGAATTACATTGTTTATTTTGAAGCTTCCTTTTCAACGTTGTTAAGAAGGGTCTAGAATAGATTTTACTCTAAGACTAGTTTTAGCCCTTCTTTTAGGACTAAAACCAAGAAGGAGTATGGTCTTTTGGGGATCTCTAATGAATTGCCTGCCGTGTTCCACAAGGTCTTTCCACCCTAGTCACTTAGAATTCAAACTGTGCCAGCCCTGTGAAATTCTGATATTTGTTCAGCTTACAGCTTTCCAGTAGTTACACTTTCCCTTGTATTTGTTCTTTGGCCTTGTGGAGTCTCACCCTATATTTGAGCAGATTAGTTATCCAATACTAAAAAAAAAAAAAAAAAAAAAAAAAAAAAAAAAAAAAAAAAAAAAAAAAAAAAACAACAAAAAAACCTATGCAGATTTCTGGAGTTATTTCCCTGCTTAGCTCTCTCCTCTATGGTCTTCAACCCATAGATTTCAGCTGTTTACCCCTCTCCAAATTCTAATACCTGTCTCATTATCTCAGCAAGGCTGCCATGCTCTGTCTGGGTTTCATCTCTCTGTTCCTTTGCCCAATAAGTATTTCTGATGAGAAAACCTGACAATAATAGCAGTTATCTAGTTTATTCTCTTCTCTCAGACAGCACTATCCTTCATGGCCTGTTGTCCAATATCTGAAAGCAGTTGTTTCATATAATTTTGTTGTTTCCTTCTGTGGCAGGGGATTTGTTTATGGCAAAAGGGTTAGTCTAGTACCCGTTACTCAGTCATAGCTGCAATCAGGTGTCAAGGCTTTTGATTTTCTTCATGTATACTATTATTGAAAGCCCCCAAAACAATAGTTATCCTTCTATGGTAAGTGCCCAACTGAGAAAAGGATCACCATTTAATCATGCAGACCAGGAAAACAAATCAGTAATTCCTAAGTCATGTAACCGTACCTTATCCCCAGTTGCCATAGGTCTGCAAACTAGAATTGTTGTCAAATTTTATTGCTACTGCAATGCCTATCATCCAGGTATGTGACATGCTAAGATAGGGCTGCAAGACTGATTGACAATACAGGACAAAAGATAACTTACTGGAACAGAAGAGAAGATGGATACAGGAGCTAGAAATGACTTCCAGAAAAACAAACAAACAAAGCACTGCTCTTTTCCAATTAAACTGAAAAGAGTTCCTTAGGGAGCTGGTATTTGACGACTGCATGGTCTTTAAGAAAATAAAACACAGTGTCTGGAAGAGAGTGAATAGATGCTAAAGTGAGGAAGATATAAAATAATTTTCATACCTCCCTCCAAGACCTAAGATGTGATACGGTTGGGCTAGCATTAGAGAGGAAGTGTGTCATAAGCCCCAAGTGAGTATGGGTCCTGCATGGATCTTAGAGAAACTGAAATGAACACCTATGATAGAACTTCAGGAAAATTCAAAGTTCCATACAACCTAAATGGACAAGCATCCCAAAAATATCACATATGAGTTCTCAGAACAGATAAGGCATCAGTGTTTCAAAAAGACAAAGAGTCTTGTAAAAGACAGACTGCCCAGAAATATCTCAGCAGCAACATGCTGTCAATCCACTTAGTATTACCTATATAAAGTCTGTCTCCCAGTTCAACTCTCTTGCTCCATGAGCACTGGGAAAATAGTTTATGTAAACCAAGACTATTCCATAAAACAAATATCCTAGTAAATGGTACAGAAATTTCACTGATACAGTTTGCACACTAGCTCCAAGGGTCCTACAGAGACTATTCTGTTATGCAATTCAGAAAATGAGTTATCTTTAAATTAACCTAAAATAAAAGGTAATGGCAATAGCTTAGAAATATTTTAATTATACAGAGATAATCAAGGTGATGGTATTTATTATTATCACAATAAAATTAGACTATTTTATTGTGAGTTTTTTTCTTCCCTAAATCTTTAAATTATAAAAAGGTACTAGTTATTCTCTTTTGTGGAGCTGATGGGGCTATACAAAACAGTATACTTTTCCTTTCATATCTAAGTCCATAGGTTTATAATTAAGGAAGATTCCTCAGGATGAAAAAAAAACCAGCAATAACCACTCACGCTATCTTTCTTCAACTGGGATTTTTCTATGATTTGTTCATTACCGATTTCCCAGCACCTACAGCTATTTGGAACAAAGAGATAGTCAAATAAATGTTAGGTTAATTTCTAAATTACAATTCTCATATTCATGCTAGTCACCATGACACCAATGTAAATGAATACAATAAATTCTGGATTATTGGCTAATGAAAAGTCACAGAAAAAAATAACAACAAAAACATAGCCAAACAACTTACTAACATAATGATGCTTGTTTTGTTTGTTAGAGGTAAAACGCGGCCACAGAAATAGACATGAAATGGATAACAGAAAAATTCTAGGCTGCTACAATTAAGAATGATCTTTGATAGCTCAGAAAAGAAAGTCACCTAGAGTCAATGATACATGTGAAATTGGTCAGTGCATGACCCAAAATTTTTTACTCAGTGCTCAAGACATAAATTATTTTTCAGAAACCACTATAGAGAATAAGAAATATCTTTAAGTTCTAGAGCT